TGCCACCATGTGAGTAACTGCTTAGAACAACACCAATGAGTGAACTCTATTAATTTTAGTGAAATCTTGGTTTTAGTTTTAGTTTTTAGTGAAATTAGTTTTTTCAAAAGACTGGATGTTCTCAAATGAGTGAAATTATTTTTTATTTTCAAACAAGTGAAATCTTGATATGAGTGAAATATGTTGTTTTAAACTAATGGACTCCGTCTTTCCTGGAAATGAGTGAAATTATGTTTTTCAATTGAATGAAATCAGTCCTTCAAATTAAGTGAAATAAGTGTTTCGATATGAATGAAATCCCTGTTTTGAATATATTGCACATTCTCTACTTTTAAGTAATGAGTAGAATAGTTTTTTTAGAAATGGGTGAAATCGAGTGAAATGAGTGAATTCTGTGTTTTGAACTGAGCGAAAACAATTTTATTACAATCTGCTCCACATATTTTGTAAGAATCCAGTTCCTATTTTGTAAGATATCGGCTTCACCTTTTTCAAGTGGACCAATTTGTTTCATATATTTTGGATGACATTGATTTCAGATATTTTGATATAAACAATCTTACATTCTCAATAAAATTGAAATCTATTTCACATCTTTTTACTACAAGTCATATATATTTCACATCTACTCATCACTGAAACACACATATTTGAAGAAAAAATAGTTTCGTGTGTATTAAAAAATATTTCTTTTGTAGTTTGATACCATCTGTTTTGCATTACTGAAAAAACCAGTTTCACATTTTTTAATATCAATTTCACATAAATGAGAGAAATCGTTAGTCAAACTGACCAACTGATATTTGTGAAATATAACTATACTGATTAAAATCACTTTTATGAAATGAGTGAAAATGTTATTTTCTAAACAGAGTGAAATCCATATTTTCAATGAGAGAAATCAGTTTTTTAATAAGTGAAATATGTTTTTGGAATGAATGACATATCTCTTTTTGAATGTTTTTTAATATATTTGCGTATCCATAACAAGATCAATCACAGATACATTTGGACAAGTCTTAACTTTACCATTTCACTCATTTTTCAAAAACTACTTGTTTCAAAAGAGATATGTCATTCATTCCAAAAACATATTTCACTTATTAAAAAACTGATTTCTCTCATTGAAAATATGGATTTCACTCTGTTTAGAAAATAACATTTTCACTCATTTCATAAAAGTGATTCTAATCAGTATAGTTATATTTCACAAATATCAGTTGGTTAGTTTGACTAACGACGAGTGGGACCTGAACCGGTGGGGGCACGCTAAATGCACCCACTGGATGTAGTCCCCGAGACTGCGGTCGACTGCTGGCAGTCGACTTGGGTCTGAGTTCTACTTTCCTTTTTTTTCACTTCTTACACTCGACTCAGGCGGACCGATCGAGTAGGATCCGAACCGGTGGGGGCACGCCAAGTCCACCCACTGGGTATAGTCCCCGCGACCGCAGTCGACTATATATATATATAATCAAAAAATGAATATTTGGTTCACAACTTATGAGCCATTGAAAATGCCATACGGAAAATAAAGTGCAAGCCTTTAGTTGGAGAGAATTATGCGTTCACGCAGCCGGCATCCTTCTCTTCTCTCTCACTATGCCACCTGATAAAAGTTGCTTTTGGGGACCCCTGCTAGATCGCATTACTATCTATAGCTGCTAAAAACTAAGACAGAAGTGAAAATTACATTTAATACTTGGGCCATAGAATACTAGATGGCAGAGTCCTATTGGTTCGTTCTTTGCCGTTACATACCAACCTGTGATGGCAATCACCTAGAACAAATAGAAAACAAAGATGGCCAACCATTGTAGAAACCTGCTTTCTCACTTTTCCATTTAGCAAGAAATATACTCCTTTACTAAAATTTTCCATCCACGCCTACATTTGATGGGCGCGCGCGGAAGGCTGGCGTTGCCTGGTGTCGATGGCAAAAGGGCTTGGCAAGGTCAACGCATTGATTACTCCGGAAGATGGGATGCCGGAATATGGGGGTGACAGATTCTACAACATCCACATGCGGTGGACACTAAGGATCTGCTTGACCGGTTGGTGCACCCGGCTAGCCGGTGGGCGGCTTGGTGAGGCTACCGAATTTCATGGTGTGCATTGACATGAGGTCATGACACATCATCAACCTTCTAGGTAGGGCAACAGATTTCGCCAGGAAGGTGGATTTGGTCGATCCATGTATTTTTTTGTAAGAACTTGCTAAATTATGCAATAAAAATGTTTATGTGCATCGCTTGATGCAGAGGCCGGGAGTTATCCTCCTTAAAAAAACGACTACGAATAGGTAGGGTGACAACTAATAAGAAGTACCTTAGATTTTGAGAAAATAAAATCAACTTGTTAAGACATTTTTAAAACTCTTGATCAAATGATTAAACATTAAACAGTAGATCATAATTATAATTCCGAGGTTGCTAGTTTTACATGCCGTTTGGAACCTACGAAGACATTAATTTTTGAGGAAGCAAAATAAATCAAGGTCTTGGCATGTTTTGTGAAACGTAAAACGAAAACTTAGAATCAAGCATAATTCGGTCTACTGAGCCAAAAGGAAAAAGCTCAAGGAACAATTTGGTATCAACATACATCTTGGAACGGATCATCTCAGGGGGTGCTTAAATACCTATATTTGCTTTATGAAATGAGAGTGGAAGCTTCTAGCGGGTCAGATGCACGTTAGAACTGGCACACGATACTATCAGTCTTCAACTGGTTACCTCGCCGACTACGATAATAAACCTCAGCTGCCATCTGTTGAAGAACAGTTTTCCTATCCCTTTGAGTTGCAACTTTGTCGCTGTACCTTTTGAATACAAGACCACATCTACAACTAATAAGCAGTACCTTGTATTTTGAGAAAAGAAAATAAACCTTCTAAGACGTTTTTGAAACTCTAGACCAAATGATTAAACATGAAGTAATAGCTCATAATTACAATTTTGAGGTTGCTAGTGACACATGCCATGTGGTACCTACCTACGAAGACGTTGTATTTTGAGGAAACAGAACAAATCAAGGTCATGTCCTGTTTTGTCAAAGGTAAAAAAAAACTTAGACTCTAGCTAGCCTAAGTCCGTCAAGCACGTTCAAAATGTCCTAGTAGGAGAACAAAAAGGAAAATGGTCAAGGTGCAATTTCAGATCAACATACAACTAGTAACTGATCATCTCAGGGGGTGGTTAAATATCTATATTTGCTTCTATGAAATGAGAGTTGGAGCTGCTACGGGAAGAATGCATGTTTGAACTGGCACATGATACTACCAATCTTCAATTTTTCTTTATTCCGATGAAAAAATATACACAAATGGTTTCAATGTTAATAGAGCATGCATGAAAAGCTTTATCTCAAACTTCTGTCTGATTGCCAGCGACAGGCCACTGACGTTGAACACTCTACTCGTCCGGACTTGGTGCGGGATGCCTTGAGCTCAACGTTGTTTACATATAGACAACTAATAAGAAGTACCTTCGATTTTGAGAAAGTAAAATCCACCTTCTAAGATGTTTTTGAAAATCTAGGTCAAATTTTTAAACACTAAAAAATAGCTCATAATTACAATTCTGCGGTTGCTAGTTACACGTGTCGTGTGGAACCTATGAAGACGTTGATTTTTGAAGAAGCAAAACAAATCATGGTCTTGTCCTGTTTTGTCAAACGTACATCAAAATAGACTCTAGCCTAATTCAGTCTATTGGGCCAAAAGGAAAATGGTCAAGGAACAATTTCAGATAAACCTAGATCTTGTAAGTGAGCTTCTTAGGGGCTACTTAAATACCTATATATGCTACTATAAAATGAGAGGGGAAGCTGCTAGCGGGTCAGATGCACTTTAGAATTGGCACACGATATTATCAATCTTCAACTGGTTGCCTCGCCAACTATGATGATAAACCTCAGCAGCCATCTATTGAAGAACAATTTTCCTACCTCTTTGAGTTGCAACATTGTCGATGTACCTTCTGAATTCCAGACCACATCGACAACTAATAAGCAGTACCTTGGATTTTGAGAAAATAAAAGCAACCTGTTAAGACATATTTAAAACTCTAGATAAAAAGATAAAACATTGAACAATAGATCACTCTAGATCAATATTCAACTTTAATTTATTCCGATAAAAAATTATACTACACAATTGGTTTCGATGCTAATGGGACATGACGAGCTTTATCTCAAACTTCTGTCCGATTGCCAGCGACAGGCCACTGACGCTGAACACTCCACTCGTCCGGGACTTGGTGCGGGTTGCCTTGAGCTCAACGTTGTTTACATAGACAACTAATAAGAAAATCCTTGGATTTTCAGAAAATAAAATCAACCTTCTAAGACGTTTTTGAAACTCTAGGTCAAATGGTAAAACATTAAAAATAGCTCATAGTTACAATTCCGATGTTGCTAGTTACATATGCTGTGTGAAACCTACGAAGACGTTGATATTTGAGGAAGCAAAAGAAATCAAGGCCTTGTCTTGTTTTGTCAAACGTAAAACAAAATAGACTCTAGCCTAATTTGGTCTATTGGGCCAAAAGGAAAAAGGTCAAATAACAATTTCAGATCAACATACATCTTGTAAGTGAGCGTCTTAGTCTTAGGGGCCACTTAAATACCTATGTTTGCTTTTATGAAATGAGAGTAGAAGCTGCTAGGGGGTCGGATGCACGTTAGAACAGTCACACGATATTATCAATCTTCAACTGGTTGCCTCGCCAACGACGATGATAAACCTCAATTGTCATTTGCTAAAGAACAGTTTTCCTACCCCTTTGAGTTGCAACATTGCCGATGTACCTTCTGAATACCAGCCACATCGACAATTAAATAAGCAGTACCTTAGATTTTGAGAAAATAAAATCAACCTGTTAAGACATTTTTAAAACCCTAGATCAAATGATTAAACATTAAACAATAGATCACTCTAGATCAATATTCAACTTTTATTTATTCCGATAAAAAATTGTACTACACAATTGGTTTCGATACTAATGGGACATGACAAGCTTTATCTCAAACTTCTGTCCGATTGCCAGCGACAGGCCACTGACGCTGAAGACTCCGCTCGCCCGGGACTTGGTGCGGGCTGCCTTGAGCTGCACGCTGTTTACATAGATAGCGAAGCTCTTTGGTGCGGACGGCAGCCCCATGAAGACCACCTTGCCGATGACCTGCGCCCGACTCGGCGCGTATGAGTTCTGAACCACATGTGAACTCACCTTGGTGGTGACCATGCCTTTGCTTTCCTCCCTGTCGCAGCTGAATCTCACCAGGGTCCAACTGCCTCCCACAGCGCCCATCTCCGGCGAGTCGCCGTCATCCGAGAACAGCTCCCCACTGGCCGTCCCATTCTCCGCGAGCGCCACAAGGAGGTGGAACTCGCTTTGGCGTGCAGCGGACGTGGTGAGGTCGGCATGCTGCAGTAGTAGGATGTTGCCGCCGGCCAGGTGCGCATTTGCCAAGTCCGCTGGCGCCGGGAGGGTCACGCGCTTGCCGACCTTCATGGTGTAGGCGAGGGAGTAGTCGTAAAGACTGAACCACCGGCCGGCCGGGAAATAGGCGTCCACGGTGGTGGCGCCGGGCTGTAGCACCGGAGAGACAAGCACGCCGCGGCCTAGCATGAATTGCCTGTCCACGCCATAGGTGTCGGCATCCTGCGGGTAGGAGAAGAAGAGTGGCCGCGCGATGGGCGCCCCCGTCATGTGCGCCTCGTACATTAGCGTGTACATGTAGGGCAGTAGCCGATAGCGCATCCCCAACGCTTTCCTCGCCGACCGTGCCGTCGGCTCCCACACATAGAGCTCTCGCCGGAGGGTTGTCTTTGTTAGCACTAATCTTGATATTTTGTATCTGCATATTTGTTTTGAGTCGTGCATGTAACTTAGATGATCTAGGAGTAGCGAGTCCTCTCAAGTTTCAGCGAAGGTGTGCGGAGGAGGCGAGATGCTGAGATGCTATGAGGTGCAACAGCTTGGTGAGATGCCCGTGACCGTGTGATGTGGTGCTGCATGCGGAAGCTGGAGCGAAAGGAGATGCATGAGGACCAACCGAGTGATTCGGTCAGCTATCTATGTTTGCATGCATGCTTTGGCCGGATCGTATGCCTAGAGTGATTCTAGGAGAGGAAGACCAGGTTAGTCGTTAGTAGCAAGGTTCATGCATCAGTTAGTTAGTGCATGTGCAAGTGTTGGCTGAGTCAAGTGTGATGGCCGGTGTAGTGCGTGCGTGGAGTTAGTGGTTAGTGGACTATTGCGTGAGATCATGGTTAGTGGCCGAGCATGGTGGCTGGGCTGTGCATGGGTCCTTGTGTATATATGTACTGAGTTAATGAAAGAGGAGCCGAGAGGTCCAGCAGAAAATATGTAGCATGTGTGTTCGCCAAGGAGAAGAGACCCTGGGCAAAGCTTTCGTGCTCCTCCTTGGTCCATGCGTGTGTGTGTGTGTGTTCTTGAGAGAAGGTACAAGAGAAGAAGATAGAGAGAAACCACAAGAGAGCTGTGAGAGCCAGCTCAAGGTAGAAGAAGAAGTGGCACTGCGAGGAGGCGGCGCCAACAATTGGTATCAGAGCCTTGTCGATCCGAGGCGGTGGTGGCACCGTGGCGGACTCCATGTGAGGTGGGGGACGGCGGTGCGAGGTGGAGGCCGGAGACGGTGCGATGCCGTGGGCGACCGGTTGCGGTGCGATGCCGCAAGATGGAGATGGCGGTGTGAAGCTGCCACAAGAAGACGACGGTGTGACGCCGTTGGGAGGTACGGCGGCGCGAAGCCGTCATGAGGATCGGCGTCGCGAGGACGTCATCCACGACAAGATGGTCCATGGTAACCAGCGCTGCGACGGCGTCGGTGGCGGCGAGTGGCCGGTTGCGGTGCGATGCCGCAAGAAGATGATGATGGTGACTGGCGCTGCGACGGCGTTGTCTACGACAAGATGGTGCGTGGTGATCGGCGCTGCGATGGTGTCGTCCACGGCAAGGTGCTGCGGGTGATCCGCATCGAAGAAGATGATATCAAGATTAGGGGGTGAATGTTAGCACTAATCTTGATATTTTGTATCTGCATATTTGTTTTGAGTCGTGCATGTAACTTAGATGATCTAGGAGTAGCGAGTCCTCTCAAGTTTCAGCGAAGGTGTGCGGAGGAGGCGAGATACTGAGATGCTATGAGGTGCAACAGCTTGGTGAGATGCCCGTGACCGTGTGATGTGGTGCTGCATGCGGAAGCTGGAGCGAAAGGAGATGCATGAGGACCAACCGAGTGATTCGGTCAGCTATCTATGTTTGCATGCATGCTTTGGCCGGATCGTATGCCTAGAGTGATTCTAGGAGAGGAAGACCAGGTTAGTCGTTAGTAGCAAGGTTCATGCATCAGTTAGTTAGTGCATGTGCAAGTGTTGGCTGAGTCAAGTGTGATGGCCGGTGTAGTGCGTGCGTGGAGTTAGTGGTTAGTGGACTATTGCGTGAGATCATGGTTAGTGGCCGAGCATGGTGGCTGGGTTGTGCATGGGTCCTTGTGTATATATGTACTGAGTTAATGAAAGAGGAGCCGAGAGGTCCAGCAGAAAATATGTAGCATGTGTGTTCGCCAAGGAGAAGAGACCCTGGGCAAAGCTTTCGTGCTCCTCCTTGGTCCATGCGTGTGTGTGTGTGTTCTTGAGAGAAGGTACAAGAGAAGAAGATAGAGAGAAACCACAAGAGAGCTGTGAGAGCCAGCTCAAGGTAGAAGAAGAAGTGGCACTGCGAGGAGGCGGCGCCAACAGTCTTCTCTGCGTGGGCCCTGGCGAACGGGTAGAATGCGCCAAGCTGAATCCAGCGGCTGCAGAGCTCCTGGGTGGTGTTGCCGTTGAAGCCACAGATGTCGGCGCCCATCATTGGGTTGCCGAAGAGGCCAAAGTTGAGGATGGTGTTGATGGATTGCGCAAGCTCGTCCCACCGCGCGACATTGTTGCCGGCCCAGTGCGCGGCGTAACGGCCGGAGCCGACAAAGGTAGAGCGGCTGAGCACGAAGGGGCGGCGTGTGGTGTCCCTGAGCAGCCCGGCGTGCGTGGCCTGCGCCTGGAGGAGGCCGAAGAGATTGTGCGCGTCGTACTCGGACACGCCGTTGTAGTGCACCGTTGAGACCGGCACAGTCCTGTAGTTGATGGGAAGGTGGAAGCCGGAGTTGTTGATGCGGTAGGGCGGGTCGTCCAACTGATTGAGTGGCTGCCACTGCTTGAAGTTGGAGGGCTCGTTAATGTCGCACCAGAGCCCATCCACAGGGATGGTCCGCCGAAACTCAGAGATCTTTCGTGCCCAGTACTGGGTGCTACGTGGGCTCATGAAGTCCAGGAAGTAGACCTCGCCTGGCCACGCCTCGCCTACCAGGTTGGCGCCGTTTCGCTTGAGGAACAAGTCCTCGTGAGGTGCTGCTTGCCGTTTGATAGCCGGGTGTACGGTGACCACGTATTTCTGGCCATTGTTGTGGAGCCGGTCCACGAATGGCCGGAGCTGCTTGGACGGGTAGTTCACCGGATCCAGCGTGAAGTCCTGGTAACCGTCCATGTAGTCGATGTCCGACCAGATCGCCTCCAGTGGGATCCTGGCCTTGGCGTAGCCGGCGACCACGCCATCCAGATCAGCCACGTTCTTGTAGCCATACCTAGACTGGTGGAACCCTACAAGTGCAAGATCGAGTGAGCGTAGCAGAGCAGAGCCAGCATATATATGGATATATGCCTACCAAGAAGGTACTCGTACCGAATGACCAGTAGGGCATGGGGGCAGGGCGGCCGATGAGCTGTGTGTACTGGTCCACGACGTCGAGCGGGGAGGGACCGACGAAGAAGTAGAAGTCTAGCACGCCACCGATCACCTTGTAGGTGACGTAGGATCCGCCGTACAGTATGTCCATCCCATTGCTGTTCAGGAGGAGCACGCCATGCGCGGCACCGCCGGAGCGCACGTCCATGTAAAACGGGTGCGAGCCATAGAGGTTGAGGTCCGGTTGGTCGGACCACGTCACGTCCCCGTTCCACAGCGTGAAAGTGTCATTGTGTTGTAGCCGGAACGTCTGTTTTTTCTGCTCGCCGAGCCCATACAGGGATGCTCGGTCAGCCGGCAGCGCCGATGTCACCTCCAAGTACCTGCATTCCAATTTCATGCCCATCGTTCACTTGCTACTTACAGACCATGGTATTGTTCTACATCGATCTAACTCTTGCGGATCAACTAAGCTACACTAGATAACATTGCAATGGAACACTTGTAACATACCGGTCCTTGAAGACAAGGTTGGCGGAAGTGTCAAAGAGGGTGTCCCCGGTGGAGCGACGGGAGACCGTGAAGCGGAACGGGCTGGGGTGGATGGTGAAGGTCAGGTCGGAAGACGCGCTGGACATGGTGCTGTTGGTCGGCATGGATGGATTGCCTGGTGAGTCGAGCAAAACGTCCTTTGGTTCTGGCCCTGGTGCCGGGCGTGGGATGACGTCTTGGGGGACCTCCCATCGCCGATGGTCAGCATCGGTGATGCGCACGCGTAGCCGGCTATCCGTCTCAAGACTGCCGTCATGACACAAAATTAAGAATCTGTGAGCAAGAACCAACTTATCTAGCTACTCCCTCATTCCATCTATATAGGGCCTAATGCATTTTTCGAGGTTAACTTTGACCAAATATTAGAGCAATAATATATAACATGCAACTTACACAAAGCACACCGTTAAATTCGTATGTGAAAGGAGCCTTCAATGATATAATTTTCACATTGTGCATGTCATGTACTATTAATCTTGTCAATAGTCAAAGACAATCTTAAAAAACGCATTAGGCCCTATATAGATGGAAGGAGGGAGTAGTTGATTGAAATGAAATATCAAACACACTTGCCTTGCGGTTAGGGTGAGACTCTTCACATCAGGACCAAATTCTGTCGACCCACCGACGAGCTTTAGCTGGGCCGATATCAGCTTCCCCGACTCAGCGGTTGACTCGACATCATAGACTGCACTGCAATGATGGAGGAGGAGGCAGATGAGGATGGTGAGGAGCACGAAATGATCAGTGGATGGCAAGCCAATCGCCATGAGTGGATGGTGCGTGCAACACAAGTGATGTCTAGTATCTGCTGCACACTCGGGGTTATATAGGCCAGCAATCATCTGAAATGTTTGGAAAGTTTTTAATACGTGCCTAGGATTACCTCTAGATAGATAGGCTATACGAGCCAGTACTTCAATGCTTTCAAAGCTAGGGCTTATCGCTTCATACAAATGACTAATTTTTACTTGCTAAAGAAGGAAAATAATTATTGCAAACAAATGTGAACTGCAAATACATGCAGCGTACATCGGGATGAAGAAGCAATTAATTTTAACTTCCTAAAGAAGGAAAATAATTAATGCAACAAAATGTGAACTGCAAATACATGCACTAGATCTGTTTTGAATTAACTGCCATTTTAACTCTGTACTAAGTTAAACTTGGTCTATGCCAAATTTCTACCAGTTTGACCCGCTTAATCGAAATAATACACCAAGATCTGAAAAAAGAAATTTTCTCACATAATACCCATCATGAAATATATGCGCAGAATATATATTTGCCTACTCATGTTGATATTGAGTCATTTTTTTATAAAGAGTAAAGTCAACTTTGTGGCCCTATTCCGATATTTTTAATAGGAATTACCCTATGTGAGATGTATTTATCGGTATCACCCCATTTAGGGTAAGTTGTACCACATTGAACCTTTTTATAAAAATGAGCATGTCTTGTCAAGTGGGTTTTGACCGCCAGGGTACACGTGACATGTCATGAGAGAAGCCTCTAGTGAAACCTATGGCCTCGGGTCTATTTTCCATCTATAAGTTTTCGATCTACTATTTTGCAATCATTTACTTTCCAATCTACAAACCAAAAATATTTACTTTACAGTTTATCAATCTCTATCAGATCTCACTTCTGCAAATAACTGTGAAGGGATTGACAACCCCTTTATTGCACTGGGTGCAAATTGTTTGATTGTTTGTGCAGGTATTTGGCGATTTGTGCGTTGTCTCCTACTGGATTGATACCTCGATTCTCAAACTAAGGGAAATACTTACTCTACTTTGCTGCATCACCCTTTCCTCTTTAAGGGAAAAACCAACGCAAGCTCAAGAGGTAGCAAGGTATGCACGCCATTTCCACTGCCATGAGAATAGTAAGACACTCTTTCTCATATGTGCTGAGAGTTTGATTTTCGGGGCAGAGGATTTTGCTGAGATATGACACTGGGTGCCCTTGCCGCATCAACATAGCCTCGATACCCTTGTTACACGCATCTATCTCCAACATATACGTCTCTCTAAAATTGGGGAGGGCTAGCATAGGAGCTTGAGTCAAGGCCGATTTTAGTAGTTGGAAGGCACGATCCGCAATTGGAGTCCACTAAAAGATCACCCCTTTACACAAGATCTCACTAAATGGTTTACAGATCATCCCATAATGTTGGATGAACTTATGGTAGTAGCCTGTCAGGCCAAGGGATCCCCTGCAAGGCTCTCGCACTGGATGGTGTAGGCCAGGACTGAACTATCATGATCTTTGCAGGATCTGTAGCCGCTCCCGCTTCACTGATGCCATGCCCGAGGTACTCTATTTTATGACTAGAAAATTCACACTTCGATCATTTGATAACAAAATAATTTTGCTGAAGTAGCTGAAACACAACACACAGTTGCTTGACTTATTCTTACAATGTCGAACTATAAACTAGAATGTCGTCCATGAACACCAATACTCCATGACGCAACAGAGGGTCAAGAATAGTGTTCATGTTGGTGCAATTCTTGCCCTCCTGTGTCTTCGAGGTTGGTGACAGAAACATGTATGGACTGATTTGTTTGCTAGTGCACACAGAGAGGAATATTCGAAGCAGAACCGTAGAAGAACGCCATCTTAGGTGTCAAGTTCGAGGAACTTCACTGAAGGATATTTGAGATGCAGAGAAGATTCGGTCATATCTCCCAAGGCCGTTCTGACGCGAATACTGATGTGAAGAAGTTGACCCCAATAAATATATTGCTTTGGTGAAGCAATCAGATCAGAGGTCATCCGAAGAAAATTGATTGAGAAGATCAAAGGCGAAGCGAAGACGTAGAACTCAATTCAATCTTCTTCTTCTCTTTCTTGAGTCTTAGGATCTCCGTACTACTAAGAGTGGTATATGTTCTCGAAGCTTAGATCCGCTGTGATGCTTAGCACAAACCTATGCAAGTATGAGAGAAATCTCTTTATGCTTTGAATGATTACCTGTCAGCTGAAGCCGTAGTTCTTCGGTGTTGCAGGGGATATCTTTTGGACTGAGGAGTTAGAATTTCTTAATCCGCAAGGAATGTTACCAATGTGCTCAATTTCCGACCGTTGGACTCGTGTTGTTCGGCCACTAGTTGAAGCACATGTCCATTTCGGTCATTTCTCATCAGGGATGGTTGTGGCTATAAATAGAGACCCCGCTCCAACGTTGTCCGTTGCCTATTCCGCTTAAGATTTCTGAGAAGATTGATTGAGCATCCCCTCTCCAAGAGATTTCAGTTTAAAATCCACCAAGACGAAACCAAGAACCAAAACTCAGATAGTGGTTGAGCATCACAGTAGTTCTGAGACAGAGCTCTTGTACCTATTACTCTTGAGAGCTGCGCACTCTCTAGATGGATAGGTGTCGGCTCGAGTGTTGAAGAGTTGTTATCTTCACCGAGCAAGATCTTCAGCAACCAAGAGTAATTGTGGTTTTCAATGGAACTATGCCAAAGGTTTGAAGATCACCGATATGTTGGAGAACGTTGCAGAAAACAAAAAATTTCCTACAGTTTCACCAAGATCCATCTATGAGTTCATCTAGCAACGAGTGATCGGATTGCATCTACATACCTTTGTAGATTGCGAGCAGAAGTGTTCAAGAGAACGAGGATGAGGGAGTCGTACTCGACGTGATCCAAATCACCGAGGATCCTAGCGCCGAACGGACGGCACCTCCGCGTTCAACACACGTACGGTCAGCGTGACGTCTCCTCCTTCTTGATCTAGCAAAGGGGAAGGAAAGGTTGATGAAGATCCAGCAGCATGACGGCTTGGTGGTGGATGCAGGAGTCACCGCAGCAGGGCTTCGCCGTTCTACTGCAAGAGGGATAGGTGTAGCAGGGGAGAGGGAGGCGCCAAGAGTCAAGGGTGCGGCTGCCCCTCCCTCCCCCCCTTTATATAGGCTCCCCAAGGGGGGTGCCGGCCCTAGGAGATGGGATCTCCTAGGGGTGGCGGCGGCCAAGGGTGGAGTGGCCCCCAAGGCAAGTGGGGCGCCCCCCCACCCTAGGGTTTCCAACCCTAGGCGCAGGGGGTGGGCCAAGGGGGGCGCACCAGCCCATTATGGGCTGGTTCCCCTCCCCACTTCAGCCCATGGGGCCCTCTGGGATGGGTGGCCCCACCCGGTGGACCCCCGGGACCTATCCGGTGGTCCCGATACAATACCAGTGACCCCCGAAACTCTCTTGATGGCCGAAACTGCACTTCCTATATATAATTCTTCACCTCCGGACCATTCCGGAACTCCTCGTGACGTCCGAGATCTCATCCGGGACTCCAAACAACTTTCGGGTTACTGCATATTCATATCTCTACAACCCTAGCATCACCGAACCTTAAGTGTGTAGACCCTACGGGTTCGGGAGACATGTAGACATGACCGAGACGGTTCTCCGGTCAATAACCAACAGCGGGATCTGGATACCCATGTTGGCTCCCACATGCTCCTCGATGATCTCATCGGATGAACCACGATGTCGAGGATTCAAGCAATCCCGTATACAATTCCCTTTGTCAATCGGTATGTTACTTTCCCGAGATTCGATCGTCGGTATCCCAATACCTCATTCAATCTCGTTACCGGCAAGTCACTTTACTCGTACCGTAATGCATGATCCCGTGACCAGACACTTGGTCACTTTGAGCTCATTATGATGATGCATTACCGAGTGGGACCAGAGATACCTCTCCGTCATACGGAGTGACAAATCCCAGTCTTGATCCGTGTCAACCCAACAGACACTTTCGGAGATACCCGTAGTATACCTTTATAGTCACCCAGTTACGTTGTGACGTTTGGTACACCCAAAGCACTCCTACGGTATCCGGGAGTTACACAATCTCATGGTCTAAGGAAAAGATACTTGACATTGGAAAAACTCTAGCAAACGAACTATACGATCTTGTGCTATGTTTAGGATTGGGTCTTGTCCATCACATCATTCTCCTAATGATGTGATCTCGTTATCAATGACATCCAATGTCCATAGTCAGGAAACCATGACTATCTGTTGATCAACGAGCTAGTCAACTAGAGGCTTACTAGGGACATGTTGGTGTCTATGAATTCACACATGTATTACGATTTCCGGATAACACAATTATAGCATGAATAAAAGACAATTATCATGAACAAGGAAATATAATAATGCTTTTATTATTGCCTCTAGGGCATATTTCCAACATGATAAGCATCTACCACGAATGAAATCAACTGGAATCTGATCAGTCCCTAGTTGAAGGAGACCAAGACAGAGGGAGGCGCTCGCAGGAAGACTGAACCCGCGCTTGAAGTGCAGGAAGAAGACCACGCGCTCCGTGCCCTCGGGCTGCGGCTCCTGCTCGCCCTGCGGCAGGCGCACGACGACCTCCGTCTCCCCCGGCAAGCGTCGGGTTGTGCGGAGATAGGAGACGTCGTCCAGGGTGATGGTCAAGCCCATCCACGAGCCCGACGGCAGCGCCGTCGAAGAAGACGAAGAAAGGAAAGGAGAAAGAACGGGGATGAAGCTCTGCTCGGAGCGATGGGCGTCGCAGCGCGCTGCGGTCGCAAGAAGCAGAGGAAGGATAAAGAGGCAGGGGAGTGCGAGCAAGAATGATTTCCGCCACCCCTCCCCCCAATTTATAACGCACGGTTTGGACGTGGGGAAGTGGGATCATTTGTGCTCGCCCCTCCCACTTCCCCGCAATAACTGTGCCCGTACGCGCGCAATAACTGCGTCGAGAAGGGCAACCGACCCGCGGACACCGC